TATTAGCTGAAAGGCCTTGGGCTGACTGAGGAAGGCGGGAATAGACGGCCTTCCTGTCACCTGGGGCTGGGTCCTAGCTCCTGTGGCCAAGGCTGGGCCTGCGTGTGCCCGGGAGAAAGTCCAGGGGACATAACTATTGGTTTATCTTGGACAAATCACCTGGACGGGCCCCAGCCGAGAGCTCTCGTCTCAAGTGCTGTGTAAATAACATCCAGGCCTGGGCCAGAGTTTTGTAGACACAGCTGCTGAGTAGTGAAGAAAAATCCCAAATTGCCCACTCTGACTGGGCAGGGGCACTCACCACACCGAAAGCCTTCCTTCCCCCGGGAAACGCTGCTGGATTTCAAGTGGAGAGGATTTAAACATTTTTAGTCCAGTCTCCAGTGAACATCACCAAGTACCCACCATATGCTAAACACCAGTAATTCCAGAAACATGGGAGGTCTCCAGTCCACTGCTTCGTGCTGGAGGAAAGACTGAGAGCCTGTGGACTCAGGGCTGGGCGTCAGTGTCCCCACTGGACATTGGCAGGGACCTTCTTCCCAGAGCTGTGACCCTCACCAAGGCACCCGAGGCTTCAGGAAAGGTGGGAGCTTCTGCGGGCCCTGTTCAGGGAGGCTGAGTCAGCGACTTCCAAGGGCAGGGGCTGGAGCGGAGGGAGGAGAGCGCCGAGGCCCAGGAGAGGCGGGGAGGAGGGCACGCAGCGTCCATCCCCTCGGACGCCTTCTCTGGTGGCCACAGCGTTCTGAGTAGGAAGACCACGGCCCATTGACTTCTGCCCAACCACGACCTGCCGTCACCTCCCGCTGCCTCCGAGTCACAAGCATTGGTTGGGGCCTGACAAGCCATGTGCCTTGGAGCCATGGCATCTAGGCTCAGGCCGGCGTGGTCTCTCGATCTCTGTGCTCAAAGCGCCTGGCTTCTAACAGTCCTCGGGTGCAGCCTGGTCTTAGGTGACCACGGTGTCTGTCTTGGCCAGAACGGCAGGGCTTCCCAGAGTGGACACTCCGTGGCACACTGGCGGGCCTTGACCTCCAGGTACCTCAGGCTTGGCCTTCTTCTCTGGACCCTCACTCTGTGAGTGCCCCAGTGTGTCCCCGGAGCGCGCTTCGCTTTCGGCAGTGCTGTCCTTTGTCATTTCCTGGGGCTTCTTCCTGGACGGCCTCGCTCTGCCCCCTGGGCCGGGTCATACTCACCACAGGGAAGGTCCAGCATCACTGTGTCCTTGGCCGCTTGGAGGGAAATGAGAAGGGCACTGTGCCTGTCCAGTTCCTGCATGACTGCCAGCCTACCGGCCATGTGGCTGACGCCATCAAATACTTGTCAAATGGGAGTCGAATATTCACTTAGAATATTCACTTATTTGCCTCTAAGTGAATATTAATAATGCTTCTAGTAAAGACGCTTGTGAAGTATTTGCCCTGTGTCAGGCTCCGGTAATGTGTGCCCAACTCTCGGCCTGAATGACGGTCACACACGAGCCTACCTTGAAGCCGAGTTAACCATCTATGTTTTTGTGTACTCTTTTGGCATGTGTTATTTTGTCACAGTAAAAATAGTAAAGCTGCAGTCCCTGGATGATGCGTACATAGGCTTCTGTGTGAGTGATGTTGAGATAGTTTATTCCCAGTGTTTACCTTGAAGCTGCTCTGTTGCTCGCTTCAGCTTGCTCTGAGGCACATCTAGCGCCATCCTGGCATGCTGGAGTTGGACAGGAATGGCTGGAAGTTATGTCCTTGTGTTTTAGGACCTCTACTCATCTTTAAAACCTGGGAAGGGCAGAGGTGCATGTGTAGTCAGTGATACCTGTTTTAAAACACCCTCTCTGTGGGTTTCTCTGTAGACTCCTAGTCCACTGTAGTTGAAGCCCTAACCATATACTTGTATTGTCCCGTGGAGAGGCTGGGACAGTGGATTGGCTCACGTCTTTCCTGGCACTGCCTAGGTTTTGACAAGAAGCCAAGTCCTTCCCAATCTTTGACTTGGGTAACAAGCCCTCTGCATGCCCACCCTTGGGTGGGTGCACCATGACACCTGGGACACCCCATTCCTGTAGGCTTGGCTTTCAGGTCAGGATGTAAAGGAACCGTAGGTGCAGTCCTCTCACCTGTCCGTTTTATTCCTTGTTCCTGAGTCATTTTTGTTGTGTGGATTCCGTAGGCCCTCACGCTGGGACTCACACCAGCTCCGTCACCCTCTCCTCAGTGTGGGTTCACCGTCTCTGTTCATGCAGCTCATCTGTTCCTGATGCTGGCCTGCTCCTTCCCATGCCCTCTCACCTGTCCCTCCCTCTGGCCGCCCCACTTTGTACCCTTGCCGCTGTGCCACCTCTGCTCCTCCCTCTCTCTGGGTCCTGGAAAGGCCCCAGGTTGGGGCTTTGAATTTGAGCCCTGCACTGCTTAGCAGCTGTGAGACCTTGGGTAGATAATCACCAAGGCGTGCAGCATTTCCATCCTGGAAAGACAGTATTTTCCCTCCCATTTCCTATCTCGAAAGGGTCCAGTGGGAAGATTCATGATTCCCCCTTGACGGTGCTCATGGCCAAATAGACCCTGAGGAATAATTCAATCATTCCAGGGATAGCTTTGCCCTCAGCCCATGAACTTGGCCAGTGGTGGCAGTGTTCCTGGGCCCGCCTTGCACATGCCTGTGACAGCTGAGGTGCTGTTGTAGCAGAAAATGTCCCCCACACCAGTATACTTCGCTTTCTTAGTTGCCCAGGAAATAGTTCCTGTTCCAGTTCCTGTTGCTCCTGTCTCTTAGGAACAGCTGGCCACTGTGATGCACATTGTATAAGCCAATCCCCAACTGACAAGCCCTTCTGCCTCTGTACCTCCTGCTTGCTTATTCCATATAAGCCCCGGACCACCAGAGGTCAGGGCCTGATATTTTGGGAGTGATCCCAATCAGTGCTCATGGACGTAAATAAATCTGCCTCCAAATCCTGGAGTCATTTTGGCGTTTCAGCTTGCTGTAGCACTGGCCCCAGGGGTCCTGGGCAGGGTGTGTGCTGCTCCTGACACCCTGCAACTGAGCAGGGAGGTTAACTCACTCCTGCCTATAGCGCAGCAGGTTGAAGGGGGAGCATTCACTGAACCAACTTTTTTTTTTTTTTTTTTGAGACAAGGTGTTGCTGTGTAGTTCAGGCTGGCCTTGAACTCACTAAGTAGTCCAGGCTGGCCTTGAACTTGAGGCAATCCTCCTGCCTCAGCCTCCCAAGTGCTGGGATTACAAGTGTGTGCCACCATGCCTGGATTGAGCCAACTATTTACTGATATGAAACTCTTAACCAGAAACCAAGCTTTGTAGTAATACAGACCTGAGCTTGTCTTCCAGATCTGCCACCAGCTAGCTTCACCAAAGGTCCTCACAAATTCTTTGATGTTTTCTCATTTGTGTTTCTCTTTAAGATTCCCAGGAAAACCTGTGCATTCTTTCCCATCCCTGCTATCACCTGTACATTCTGCAGAGTCATGCAGCTTGCTACTAACTGCAAAGGCAGAAGGCATAGAACACGGACCCCTTCAGCCAGGCTTCATCCCAGTCCTTCTCCAAATCTGCATCTTCTGTTTTTGACCATCTTGGGGAGACAGTGTCCTCCTTCCGGTTCTCCCCTCCGCCCCACGTGTGGGGTCTGTACTCCTTCCCTATGTGCACGACCTTGAGCCTGTACCTCACGGTCACTACCCCTGTGCCCCTGCCCTTCGCCTTGGGCGGATGCAGGGAAAAGTCCCCTCCAGGCCAGGAGCCCGCCAGCCGCCACCAACCTTCCCTCCTGCTCCTCCTCTGAACTGGTCACGCGGCCCCCTTCCCAGCACACGCCACGAGGCCCTGTTCCTTGCCCTTTCTCCACCGTTACGCCGGCCGCTTTTACTTCTGGGTGCTGCATTTCAGCCTTGATGACTCAACCTTTAAGGTTCCTCAAGGAGGTTTACACAGAATCTTGATGCCCAGGTCCCTTGCCACCTGACGACCTCAGACCCAGGGCTTGGGAGAGCCAATTCCTAACCCTTCAGGCTTGGTCCCTGGCCAGCCCGTCTCCGGCGTGCAACACTGGCTGGGTGAGCATTTCCGCCTGCTGGTTGAGGGCCCCTCACGTTTGTGTCACAAGCCCTAGTGCTGCTCCTGTAGGTCTGGTCTCTTCCCATCTCCTCTCCTCTCAGGCGTGAGGCCTTGGTTGTTCCCAGCTCTCTGCATCCAGAAGGACCGAGGCCGGCTGTTTTCCACTCCCCCTCTGTTGTCCGCTATGTCAGAACACCTGGACTAATGTGCAGCACGCACTAGGGCTTCTCCCAGCTGCACCCCGCCCCGCAAGACCACTAGGCCTCACTCCAGAGACAGCGCTAGTTTTTCTTTGCTCTGCTCCCTGCTGCATGGACAGCTTTGCAATCCGCATTTATCCACCTCTCTGTTTAAACTCTCTCATCTGCTGTCAGTCAACAGACACTACTTTCCATCCCCAACACTGCCTCAGACGTCCAAACTCTGGCTTTGCTCTGCCTCTGGAGATCCTGGGATCCCTAAAAACCCAGTTAAGATGCTGCTCACCCATTCTTCATGCCTGCATCTACGCGCTCTGCACCACCAGCACATCCTGTTATGGGCCGTCATCCTGGGGTCCTCACGAGACTGCAGGAGCTTTGAGATCGGGGCTGTGTTCTGCTTACTGTCATGTTTACATGTGCTAGACACTCAGTACCTTCCTTTATCATTTTACGGTACTCAGTTAAGGAGACTTGCATGCATGTGTGCTCTGTTTTTAAAGCTCACATGCCCCTAAAATGACCCAATGTTAATGACCCGCATTTTTAATGACAAATTTAAATATTGAGGAGGAGGTACTTCCTGTTGCCTACATATGTTATGTATTTTTATTTGGATCTTGTAATTGTAGATTTGACATCTTTAATTTAGGGAAAATTTCTTCCATATAAGTAATTGGCAAAGCCAGCCTGCAGTGAAACCGGAAAAATAGCCAAAACACATATTCCATGAAAAAAAATTTGATTTTATTTTAAAAATGAAGTAAGTGTGGTTCTCATTCTTAGCTGCTTTATCAGGGCTGCAGATGCAGAAGGCACCGGCCACCTAGCTGTCCCCCTCCACCGGCGCTGCATGGCCCCTCGGCTGTCCTTTAGGATGGATGCTGCTTCTCCTTTGGCCCTTTCTGTGCCTCTATCCCTCGAGGCTTCTGCACCTTGGGGTAACGTAGGCAGTGAGATTTAGCCTTTCTTGCAGTGCAAGGGGCAGGTTGGAGTGGGGAACTCACCAATGCCCGGTTTAAAATGCATAAAAATGGAAGCTAAAGTCCAAGAAATGGAATTGACTTAGGCTCTCTGTGCCCATGTACCCGAGACTCTGTACATGAAGTGTGATGGTTATTACCTAGGGTGCAGTCACAGGGCAGTGTTCAGACCCTTTTGCACGGCTGGCCGGACCTGGGCAGGCTTTCGGGAGCTTGCTTCCTGCTTAGGAGAGCAGATCAAATGGCATCCTGATGCTCTACCGAGTCCCAGGTTCTTGCAGTAAAGCCGCTCAGCACAATGTGGTTTCCCCAGAAGAAAGAACCAGCAAACTCTCCAAACAGCCCTGGCTCGCCTTTGTGGGTGCAGTGACCCTCCCGGGGTGATGGGCAGGTGAGCTTGTGCGATGTCCCAGTCACTGAGTTGCTGCCCAGTAATCTCCCAAAGGCCCCGCAAGGGTTCCACTTAATTTCAGGGTGTCACTCTGCTGTTTATACACAGACATTTACAACCACAGCTGTCATTACCACCAATGATCATAGTCATAATCTCTACCCATTTAATTGGCGCCCAGCACGATCAAGACAAAGCGCAGAACTTACCGTCAGAAAGACAGCCCCTCCTATCCTAAGACTTGGAGAGCGCACTGGTGATCTTATGGGCCTGCTGCCTGGCACGAATCTCTATTAAATTCAAATTCTTGCACCTGTGATGTCATTTAGTTGTTCTTCAGCAAGTTTGGCTTGAAAAATAGCAATGTTAAGAAGCCCGGACAGATGCAACTTTGGGGAGCCCCACGCTTACACAGTTTGGAGAAAACTCACTGAAAAGAGAGTGTGAGGTCCCAGAGGAGGTCCGTGTGCCCTGGGCTGCAATTTACTTACCCCACGGCAAAGCTGCTGCACAGCGAGCACCCCCAGCTTTCCTGTTGGTCCCCAGCTCGCAGCCACGGGCTCCCTGCCTCGGGGTCAGAGCCTGAGGCAGCGAGGGGTTCTCCACAGTGCCTGCAGCCAGCTGGGGGGCTGGGGCCGGGTTTGTCCAGGTGCTGGTTCTGTCTTCTTGTTTACTGTTTCTTCAGGATGTAACGTAAGTGCGTCAGAGCTTTGGGAAAAGCCTTAACATGTCAGACAGCTGATCCCTTCTGTCTCTTGAGAAGCAGGAAGCGGTTCCACACCAGCCTGGACAACCAGCAGCTTTGGAGGAGGAGCTCTTGTCCTTCAGCTCTGTCCACACCTGGCTCCTTCTGCATCCTCACATTTTCCTGCCGGGCCTTGTGGACCCAAGAGCTCTCGAGGAGGCCCCTGGGCAGGCCAGGAGCCCTGCTGCCCCTCCTGGGTCTCTGACTCGTCCCTGCCCTAAGCCCTTTGGGTTCTGATTTCTTATCTTTCTGGTGTCCTGATAATTTTTAAGGAAAATGGCATTTCACTACCTATTAATATTTATACTCCGTTCTGCTAGCCACCTTTCTCTGTAGATCTTCTGTTTTTGCAGCTTGCCCCGGGCCATTCTTAGGTTCTTTCATAAAGAGCTATGTATATTTATTACCAATATCTTAGCTTTTGTGTTCGATTTCATACTTCAGGCCATCTCTTTTTCTAAGTATGATGCATGGTCTATTAAAAAATTGTGCTGGGGTAAAAGAGTGACAGTTTGGGAATTTCAGGCCTCCTGCTGGTGTAAGTGGGGAAAGGCCTGACAGAACCCGGCCTAGGACTTCCCTGCGGTTCCAGACCCTCGACAGAGCAGTCACCACCACCAGAAGCCTCACAGGACTCTTCCTTCTCCCCGGCGCAAGCAGTCTGACACATCGCAAAACTGCGTTCAGCCACCACCCATCTGACTACTCTAAATTCTTCATGAACTCCTCAGGACTTTGCATGGAAAAGTTTCTGAATTAAAAGGGAAGAAGCACAATGGAACTTACTGCTGACTGATACCTTCAAACTTTTTTGAAAACAGGTGCAGTATCAATCACTGTAGCAAGCAATAAAAACACTGCCACTTGATAAATGACACTTGTAGTGAACCGGCATGCAAATCCCCTCCAGGCTGTCTGGGAAGACTCCAGTGTACTTGGGCCAAGAAGGAAATCATCTTTCCCACGTCACGCCACTGCGTCTAGAATCAAGTTTCTTTTCTTTTTTTTTTTTTTTTCCGGTACCGGGAACCAAACTCACAACCTTGCGCTTGCCAGGCAGGCGCTTTGCCGCTGAGCTAAATCCCCAGCCCCTAGAATCAAGTTTCAAAGAAGCCCTGTTTGGGGCAGTGAACTTCTGCTTTAAAAATCCATGGAGACTGCCTTTTTAAAAAACAAAAGTTAACCCCCAGGAATGATCTGTTTCAAATTAACACACAGCTTATATAATTTGAAAAAGAAAAGCTTTTTGGATATATATTTTATTTGACAGTGTTTTAGAATATCATACAGTAAACAAGATTTCTGTAAAAGTTAATTTATCCATAGTGGTGCGTTTCATAAAAATAGTTGCTCACTTACAGTCTTTCTGTGACTATTAATACATGGAATTATATTTATAGAGATACAGCTGTACAGGGTAAATTCTCAGCTAACACTACACAGAAATATTATTTGGGATGGGGCTGAGATGATGTGCTGTCTTCACGGTTATGGATTACAGCCGCATACAGCAATGGCTGCACAAGTAGTAGCAGTGAACTGTGAAAATTAGAGTTTATGCAAGCGTAATCGCAATTTTTTTTTCCTTTTGTAACACATGAAAAATAAAGGTGGGAGGATACAGTACCAGGACGTGCAGCTACACTACAGAAGCATTGTCCAGAACCAGATTCAATAAATTAATGGCAAACTAGACTGGATTTCTAGCCCAGGGGAGAAACACTAATTGAGATTAAACCAAGAGGATTATAAACTGCTACATGTGTTTGTGCTTTTGTTTATGATGGATGGATTTCATTTTTGGAAACTGCTTTTACGAGCTGCAAGACCCTCCCCAGGAGGCTTCCAAGCACACTTTCTTGGCAGACAGCAAAGCTACTCCTTTGCAGGATGGAAATGATACTGCGAGCGCTCGGGTTCCTGCACTTAGGAAGAGAGGGAGAAAGAGTCCTAGGAGAGGCTGCTGCGTGTGACCTCCCCGGGCACCGCCAGGCCAGGGGGCCAGGAGGGGCCCCTGTCTGCACCCCAGCTCTGGCTGGCGGCAGGCCCGGGAAGGGGAAGCCCCGTGTGGACGGAGCGTATTAAAGTCGCTGCCTGAAGACACATTTTGCCCTTTCACACGTGTAGCTACAATCAGTACCGAAGGAGAATTAACGGATGCTAACATCTTACAAAGACACCCTAACGCAGCAGGGAGAAAGGCAGCCTTCGAACACCACTAGGGGATCAGGCGGAGACCCATGGAGATAAACACAAACATCTGGGGGTCACTCGTGAGGTAAAAAACTTAGCGAAGCGTTCAGGCCCAAAGAAATGGAAACCAAAGGTGGGGGGCTCAGGAAAGAAAGATGAACAGAAAGGACGGCTAAAGGGACTCATATTCTTTAATGAAAATAAATTAGTTATCGTAGTGACTTTTTAATATTAGAGGTTCATTCTAATCTGAGCTATAGGACAAAGCGCGAACTTGACCTCTCCTGTGAAAGTGCAAAGGAAGCAGAGGAGAGGGCTGGAGGGCAGCGGGGAAGACGGTGAACTCGCGGGGGGAAGCCTGTTCAGACGGGGCTGCAGCGTCGCCGATCTTGATTCGATAGATGGTGGTCTTTCAATTACAAAACTGATATTTCAGAGGAAATCAATGAAGAGCTATGAGCTAAACTGCAAATTTCAGACTCATGGCAAACGGTTCCCTAGGATACAATTTTTTAAACCTTTTTTTTTCCTACCACGGAAGATGTACAGAAGTATGACTGGATCACAGGAACGGCGGCAGAACGGCATCACACCGAGGGACTCACTGGGTGCCACCTCGCCCTGCGGGGGCCGGCTGCGTGGAGGCGTCGGGTGAGCAGTTCCCGGTGTTTCAGAGAAAGCCGTTCACCGCGTCAAGGACAATTTATATACAACGCTTTCGATCAATTAAAAGAGATAATCTTGTCTCAGTTTCCGCTTGCTCCGTGCAGTTTGATTTTTAAGGCGATATTCCCGTCCGTGATTGCGCTACCCGGCCGGATTCGGTGCAGAGTCCAAACCCTTCCCGCAGCGGGACCGAGTCCTTCTTTCCGCCGAGGCGGCCGTACTGTCTCCGCGGTGCTCTGCGAGAGCTGTGGTTCTCCCGCAGCTGCCCGGGCCCCGGCAGCCCGCCTCGTGGACGATGCGTGTGACAGTGACAATAAATAAAACGCCGGGCGGAGGCCGGGGACTGGGGACCCTCACCGACTGGCGGCCGGGGCGCCCGGCTGGAGCGCGCCCTGCAGCCGGTCGGAGCCCGGCACTTTCCACGGCCCCGGCGCCAGGGCCGCTCTGCGTGACCCCGACCCCGAGCCCGAGCCCGGAGCAACCCCCTGGGGTCGCGGGCCGGGCGCAGGCCGAGGCCCTTCCTTCCCGCCGGGCGCCTCCTCCTGCCTCGGCCTCCCCGTGCGCTCGCTCTGCTCCCCGAGGCGCTGCTTCTTCTGGCCGCCGGCAGGGAGCTCCTTTGGTTTCCTAACGTCGTGTTCCCTTTTGACGTCCCAAGCCGGGTCTGGGCTCTTCGGGTGGGCAGGGTCGGAGGGTGGGGCGGGATGCGGTGGCGAGGATGGAGCGAGGAGGTCCTCGAGCGAGACGCCTACTTCCGGCAGACCTGGGCGGGCGGCGGCGGGAGCACTCCGGGCGCCGGGTTCGTCTGCGGACACGGAGCACAGCGTTAGGAGGCGCGCGAGCTCGGCCTGTACCCCGCGGCCGCCCCTGCACCCCGCTGTTGCCCCGTGCACCCAGGGACCACCCCGTCTCCGCCACCAACGGGCAGCGAGCCGCGTCCCAGGCTGGGTTCCCAGCCTTTCTGAACCCCTTGGAGGTCTCTGTGGAGCCCGAGCCCCATCTAAGCCCCGGGTGTCCCAGCGGCGACCGCTCTGTGCTCCCTGACTCCGGGGCGCTTGGACCCATGGTTCTCAAACTCGGTGGGAAGCACCGGGGGCCTGGCCGGGGGCCCACAGTAAAGGGCATCGGGGCCACCACTGGGCGCCCGCAGGTAACTGGGAAGAAGGTGAGGTTTGAGAAACACCGGCCAGGCTTCCTCCTAGCCCGGGAGAGTGACCTTCCCAACCACTGGGTGTCACTCAAAGCCCGATGGATTCTTAGCTACTGCACATGACCTCAGAATCTGGATAAATGCATCTAAAAACTGTCCTTGTTATCTCGCCTTCAAACACAATCATGGTTCTCAATTCTTTTTGCATTTCTAACAGGGAAGGCCCCAGACTAAGATAAATGATTCTTTCTAGGAAGCCTAGTTGCAACATTTATTTAGGATTTCAACTCAGCCTGCTTCCAAAAAAGTTGAAGACAATTTACAGCATCAAAACACATATAAAGCAGAATGATAAAAATGAAAAAAGTCCTTTTTTTTTTTTAAAGGAACCTCTGGTCAGCAGCCAAGTGGGGCACAGATGTGACAGGAGTCAAGATGAGCTCGTTCCCCCCCGGAGCAATAGCATCCCCCCTGAGTTTCTGGTCCCTCAGGCAAAATGGCGGCAAGGACATTCGACAGGGCAGCCCTTGCTCTCTGTGAGGGATGTGTCTGGTGACCTCTGAAACGCTCACATTTTGTCCTGCCGTGCTAGGATGTCACAAGGGGGCGTCAAAGAAGACACATGGGTAGCTGGGTTTGGGGAGCCTCCTTAGCCAAGTGTCACCCTGGCTCCAGGGGATGCAAGTGGAGTTCCAGCCTCTGGAACCTGGTCACAGCCCTTGGGGGCCCTTGGGGCACTCGGGTCCTGAATGTCAAGGGTCTGCTTTGTTTTAAGCTGAGGATTCTGATGTGGTACCTTTGATGCGGACTATAAGGGGGTAGAGAGAGGAAGAGGCCCGCGGGGCTGATTTCTCTAATCCTTGTGGGTACCTTTAGAACATCAACTCAGTTATGCAGACGCCTCTCCTTCGATGTGAAATTGAATGGGGTATTTGGGGCACTCTGTTATCTTTTTTTTCTGTAGACCGATGCCCACTATCATTTTCACATAGTGAGTAGAAAATCCTAGACAAGCATCAGAAGACAGAGGCTCTCGGATGCCTCTGCCACTAATTTACCAGCCGTGCTGTTCTGGACTAAGCCTTCTTTCTTCCTTTATAAGCTGGGGACGCAATGTCCGACTGCCTGGGTGTGGGACGCATACTCTGGAAGCACAGAGCACTGTGCAGCTGGAAGCCCAGGGTGACGTCAGCGCAGAGCAGAGTTACACCTCTCCTCTGTGCTCTGTGGGCGGGGCTCCTGCCGGCCCGACACTGGTGCTGAGGTTGAGTGCAATGGGTTAGCACCCCCATGCACCATGATTCCTGGGGGTGCTCTTAGGGATCTCGGGTCTCCTTGGTTAGTCTGGCTGCAGTGGAATTCAAAAGCAAACCCTCAGAGGAGGGACTGGGAGGTACCTGTGCCCATCTAGGAAGGTCTTGCTTTAGAGAGTTAAAGTGGGCCCAGAAAGGCATGGCCAAGCTCTGCCTCGGACCACGACAATGACGCTTCTCATGTTAATAGCTCTTTCCGCACCATTCCACCCCATACGATGGAGTCAATTAGCCGCACTTAAATTACTTCTGAGACCCAGGGGGAGGGCTGACATTTTTCATGCCATTTCCCGGGGGAGGAATTGAAGCAGAGGGAGTTTGGGTAAGGAGGCCAAGACTACAGCACGGCTGGTCCAGAGTAAAGCTCAGGATTTCTTTTCTGTTTCTACTTACTGAAAAAATTGTCCCAAGCCATCGTCTTGCAGATAGATAGGATCAGACATGTGAATGGTCACGCTCTGGGCCCTGCTGGCCACGGGAGCTGGACCTGTCACTGGACTGAACACTCAGCAGGATTCCTGATCCGCTGACCCCGCAGGTGTCGGTGTGGAACAGGTGCGTTCCAGCCCGCCCAACGGGGAGCACGGAGAACCCCGCAGCTCCTACACGGGGGCGGTGATTCGCTGGCCTGAGGGCACCTCACACCCCTTTCCTTCCACTCTTGCCCATGTCAACTGCTTCACCACACCGCAAACCAAAAGGGGAATTTACTCCCAAGTACAAAGGGCTCCATCTTATTATAAAAAGATTTCTCAAGAGTTTGTTTTCAGATCATTAAACGCTCAACAGTGGGAGACACTAAGAGCTGCAACGTTCTAAGGCATTGCCCTTTCAGAATCTTAATCAGAAACTGAAGTCGGCCACATCCTCCAGCTAAGTGCCTGAGGTGCGGGTCCAGTCGCTTTCATTTTTGTGCAGAGGAGCTGTCTAATTCAGTGCTGGACCCGTGGGGCGCACAGCCAGCCACACGCACACCACCCAGGCCCCCTTGGCAGGCTGCACCCCAGCCTGCTCTGCTTGCCCCAAGGTGATCGCAGTCGTGGACAGGAAGAGCCCCTCTCCAGGACTTCAGATTCTAGTTCTGAGGAAATCTCGACGCAGAGAAGACAGAATGAGCCAGATGCCGTTCTGCTCCCTTCAGACCTCGCGTCCGTTTGCTTCCCTACTTTCCTCCCCTCCCCGTTTCCCTCTCTTGCTGTCTGCACCCAGCACTCGCTCAGGTGTCAGGCGGAGGCCGAGGAAGAGGTGCTCTGTGCGTCTCCGGGGCTGAGCTGCTTACCTCAAATCGGAAGCAGCAGGAGCTCTCCTACCAACAGCCACTCAGCCACTCCTGGCCTGTCGGGGTCTTTGCAATCCCTTTGCCCACTGTCCCCAGGCCCAGTGGCCAAACGCAAGAGGAAAACGCATCTCCATCTGGACAGGCATCCCCAGCTGCCCCTCCGGCCCTGTACCCTGACCGAGCCCCAAGGTCATGACCTTTCCATTGTCAAATCCAGAGGACGCGTCCCTGTGTTCATCTCAGTACTTTGTCCTCTCCTCTCACACAGCCCAGGGCTTCTGGAAGCAGGACGGTTGGCTCCGTGACAGTCCCCTGTCCCTCTCTGTGCCCTGTCTCTCTGGTTTGGCCTTGGAGAATTTTCTTTCTCCATAGTCTCTCTGGGTGTTTCTGTCTATCCCTGCTGCTCTTATGCAACGAGTGCCGGGTCTGTGCGGCCCGTGCTGCTCTCACGATAGCGCACTGCATTTTCCCGACAAGCCTCAAGTAGGAGCCTTTCCTCCCTGAGCAGGACCTGGAGTCACCCGATTCCTTGCTCTCCCTCACTTCACAAACCCGGCGCATGTGCCATCCTATGAGACTTATTTCCAAATGTATGTGGATGCCACCAACTTATCTTTGCCTTTGCATTCTTTTCTTTTTTTCTGCCCTGAGCCTTTGCACTGAGCTATGGTCCCTGGATCTTTTTAATTTTAATTTCGAGACAGAGTCTCACTAAGTCACAAAGCTGCCCAGGGCTTCATCCTCCTGCCTCAGCCTCCCAGAGTGCTGGGACTACAGGTCTGCACTGCCACGCCTGGCTAGCTTCACCTTCACTGTCCCTACCACGGTGCAAGATACAGGCTGCCCTCGGGAGGAGGCACCCTGTGTGGGGTGCTCAGGACGATCACAGTTACAAACTGGGCCGCCAGGCGGACATCTTTCTAAACCCTGAGGGAGACGGTTGAGGACAAACATTTCAGAAAGGAACCTCAGTGCTGTTCCGAAAGGAGAAGTAGAGTGAGAAGCGCACACCCTCCCGGGCCCACCCAAGGCACTGGCCTGCCCAGCTCCTCGCCCACCGCAGTGGCTGCTCTCCTCCGCCCTCCCTCGCTCTCCCCCTCATGACTCTTCCTACAGGGCCCACAACAATCTTTCTGAGATAAAATTAAATCTCGCCATTCCTTGCTTCTGACTCTCAGTGGGTTCCTACTGCTCTCAGATTAAAGTCTGAAATTATCAACACTGCCTACAAAAGCACAGTGGGTCCGGGGCCTGCAGTTCAGGTCCTCCAGCTCCCTGGTGTCCCGCTGCTGCGGGGCTCCCCCAGCGAGCCAGCCTCCTTTGGGAATCTTGATGTGACCCCAGGGAACTGCAAGCTACAGCGGATGTGCTGCTCTCCGCCACAGCATCCTGGTTGTGTTTGCTCATATGCTGCAAACGCAAACGTTTGCTTGTTTAATGAATCTCAGTGTGCAGTGCGAGCCGGAAGTGCCCTGGGACGATGACCGCCGTGCTGGCCTTGTCTATCACCTCGTGCCTAACACCCAGCACAGGGCTTGACCCACAAAGAAGCGCTCCATGAATATTGGGTGAGCGAATAACTCTATTCCACAAATAGACCAGGAAGGCCTGCCACCAGACGCCTACTTGAGGAAACACTTCAGGGCAAAAGATTTTCCTCTAAGCAGGATCTGTCAGCAGCAGGTTTGGGAACGTGACTTTCATCAGTTTTGAGAGGAAGGATGGGGGTGAAGTTGTGACTCACATTTAATGGAGTGGGAGGGGAAACAGCTAGGTTTGGGAGGAGGCAGAGGAGGAAGGCGGAGCCAGGGAGCCCTGAGGGAGGGTTTGCAGCCGCCATGCACCCTGAGGGAGGAGAAGAGAGGTCAGGAGCTTCAGGTCCAAGGGCCTAGTCAGGGCGCCTGGATTGTAACTGAAGTTCTTGGTCTGCAGCATCAAAGGTGAGGATGTAGGGAGCCCTGTCCCTGGAGATTCATTAACCACTGTGCCAGGGAATGTTCTGGGGACCCACGGGTGAAACAGGCTGTAGACGTCCTGCACTCCATTGTGAGAGGAGCAGTTCT